CCTTTGTAGGGACCCTTAAGGGTACATATAGGGTATCTAGTGTTTGCTCCAGGATCCCCAAATTCAAAGCCCCTCCTAGGGGCCCATGGTTTAAACCTTAGACTGAACCCTGAACCGCAACAGGCCAAACCACGACCTCCTCTCACGGCTTGCGTGGAAATCTCCAAGCAAATGGAAGTCTCCCCCAGACCACTCCCCCAAAACCTAAGCCCAATAATATGAACCTTACAAAAAAACCTACATAACATCTAAACCCGTCATGTGACTGACACCCCTTAAAAAAAAGGAGACAGGATGCCCTAAAGCGGGAGCCAGAAAGTCGAAGCATCATCCTTCTCATACTCTTGATATCAAGAACAGGGACGCCCATCACTAATTATCCTTAACCCAGCTGCCAACTATATCAAAGTTCGAAACCTGGATTAAGGATAATAATTTATGCTTCTACTATGATGCCTACCTAGACGTCCTTCTGGCTCCGAGGTAGGTCCGGGGCATCGTTGTAGAACGATGTGGGGAACACATGTCGCAACAAGGTCGTTGCCGGAGCGTCTAGGGTTTAGGGTTTAGGCCGCTGACGGGATCCAAGAGATCGTCGCAACACAGGGTCTTTCCCCGCGCTCAGTGGTTGCCCAGATGGCATCAGTGACACAGGGCCGCATCGTGCGCTCGTCCAAGGCCGTTTTCGCGCTACCTACTACCCTGGATAGGATGGTCTTTCATAGAAGGGCTTCCACTAGAAAAGCGCGGGGTGCAACAACCCTAAACCCTAGACACGAAACTCGAAGTGGGTTGCCAAGATTAAGCTCGAGCGAGGATTGAGGGATTGAAGGATTTAGGGTTAAAGGTCTTGGAATTACGGCTCAAGACACCAATACCTACTTGGAGGTTCATGGTTAGTTATGAGTGGGCCTATAAGTAGAGTAAAAATAATTATAGCCCATATTAGGGGACTTATAACCGTACCTATAACTACCCATGAACCTCGAAGTCCTGGCGGCTCAAGCATTCAAGCACGTTGAGGTTTAGGGTTTAGGGACCCTAAACCCTAAACCCTAAATCGTAGCTCAACAACATTCAACCTCGAAGCATAACCGAAACTATACCCTCAGCAATTACCCTGAGTCCTGCTAAAAGGATCCGAGAGCCGCTGAACCTTCAATCTTTCAGTCGTTAGCAACTAAGGCTTCAATTGACAAAACTATCTGAAATCCAGCAACATTTGACTAGAACCCTCTGAGAACCCTAACAGAACTCTACAACTAAGAGAACCCTACACTCTGAACGAACTCTAGAAGCAAGAGAACCCCAAAAACCTTAAGGCCACACCCCCCCTCCCAACACCCATACCGCGCCGTGTAGGCACAAGCGTTGTCGCACGGCGGCCTGCTTCGGAAAAGGCTTAGGGCTCTACTGCAGCCTTTAGGGTTTAGGGGACTTAGGAGGTTTAAGGTTTAGGGTTCAGGGTTTAGGGATCAGGCTTAGTAAGGGTATTGTAGGGGTTAAGGAATCGGGCTACGATAAGGGTGGACGACTAAGTTTACTAAGGTTCGACAGCGATTCCTAAAACCGGTGCTTTTGATTGTTTGGGGCTTCGGGCTGTAAGATTGGTTTGAGGTATCGAGTTACGGTGTTTCAGGGTTTGAGGTGTTGTAAGAGCTCCTTCCAAGAAATCTGTGGCCACTTCCCGGATGCGACGAAGTAGCTCTGTGCGGCGGTAATGTAAGCGCCTTAATACTTAGACTGCGGTTTTGGGGCCCATTATACTAGAATTATAATAAGGAGCCCCAAACTAGTATAGGTAATTATTACCCAGAGAGCCCCAATACCCCTTAATCAAGGAATATAGCCTAAATCATAATATGAAGCCCTTCTATAATTTAAGCCATATTCCTTAATTAAGGGGTACCCTATACTAGAATTACGCCTAAACCCCAAACCCTATAATAAGGAACCCCCAAACTAGTATAGGTAACTATTAAGGCCCCCTATATTACTTGGCATTCGTTTGGAATTGCCCGAGGTGGCTTTGCGTTCGGCCCGGGTGGTCCCAGTGTCGGTGACGATGTGGGTAGTTCTGTAGAATTAGGGTCGCTTTTTAGCTCCCCAATAAAGTACGGCACTTTTATAATTAGAAAGGACTCCAAAAGGGACCTTAATTTAGAACTACCCATGTAGCGATGATGTTTCGGGCCCCTTTGGCGTCGTAACCGGATTCATGGACCTCTTCGGGGGGGGGGTGGGGGGGGTAACCGGATTCATCGACCCCTTTGGGGGTGTTACTGGTGCTTGAGCTCGGGCTTGCTGTTTAGAGTAAGGTCATCAACCAGCTGGTATCTACACTACCATCTGCTCGAGGTAGCCACCATATGGTTGAAGCTCTTGATCCCAGGACAGTTCTGGGGTGGGTACCGCGGACCGAAGTCCTCATCAAGCCCCACCATGTGTAGGTGTTCATGTTTCAGGCTGTTTCAGGTACCGGCTGACCTGCCGTCTGTGATGATCCTCGGGAGTCTTAAACCCGTGGGACCATGCGGGTTTTGAGAGTTCGGGCTTACAAGCCTCTCCATCCATTCTCTTCATGGGATGCCAGCCGAACAATGGAACAAGCTTTAAACGGGCATGCTGCAGAATGTATCCAAGCAGCTAGGCTGAAGAGGTTCTGCCTAGATGCCGTGGGCTTTGCAAGCAAGGAGAAGTAACATGGAATTCACATCAACAATCATCGTCGTGGCCATCACCATGATGCTACCGGGACGTCAGGAAGAAAAGTCTAGGTACTCGGTCAGAAAACCCAAGCATGACAATGTCGGAGCCCTTTGTAAGCAACATCACAAGAGTTGCCCAACATTCCGGAGCTAGCCACAACCCTAAACCCTAAACCCTAAACGATACCTCCACATTGTCAGCTGCAGTTTCCAGGATGTGACCTCAGGTACAGATATGCTGAAACTTACACACTTAACACCCCCCCCCCCCAAACCCTGTGTCTACGATGTAAGCCCTAAAACCCCCCAAAACCACTGAGATGCATTCAGTTTTGAGGCTGCCCTCCATACTGCTTCAAAGACGACTTCGTCGATTGGCAGAACACCTACAGTACATGGGGCCAAATTTCAGAACAACCGGCCCGACCCCGGATTCTAGCTGATGACTGTCCTACTGGGCGTGTTAGCTGGCTTGTTCAAGGGCAACTTTGCTTCATTGAAGTAGGTCGAGTCCTACCTCGTTGAGGTCAAGTTTTCCTCTAGCAAGCGGACTGAACACCCCCCAGCACTTCAACATGCGCCATCCTGCACCAAACCGCAAGCATCGTATGCACTGTGCTCTTTCCTATGCCCTTAAGCTTTGACTGCAGAAGGGGCCCACCAGAAAACACCAGCAGATCGCGACGAGCCACGGAAAAGAATCGCCAGAGCCGCCGCGGCCGGGAACTTCCTGAGGAATGCCGACACCGCCTGCTCTGACTTGTTTTTGGGGGGGAGGGTGGTCCAGGGCCTTGCTTTTGGTTTTTTTGCGCATACTTGGAGGTTCATGGGTAGTTATAAGTAGGGTCATCAGTTAGGTAACTATAGTTATAACTTCCCATATTAGGGGACTTATAACCCCACTTATAACTACCCATGAACCTCCGGTCATGCAAGTTCGGTCTACAGCCTGTGCAGGTTAAGGTTCGGGGACATGGGTGCGATTTCTGTATCTACTATAAGGTTTGGAGGTTCGACACGTGGGGTCTAGGATGCTAGCTGGTCTTGCATGTACAGATTTTGGAATCCCTAAACCCTAAACCCTAAACCCCAAACCCCAAACCCTAAACCCTAAACCCTAAACCCCGAGCTGTAGCTCCATGAGCAGACCCTTTAAACTCTTCCGCGTGTGCACCCCTTCCCGGAAATACGGCGCGGGGATCCTTACTCATTGGCGGCTATTTCAACTGCTGTGCTACAAAACGCACAAAGACGCCCTAACGTTCATCAACTGACAGCCCTGAAGCTTTCTGCTTAAGCTTTTCCAGGCAATGATACCATTCATCTGGGACATCCTGATCCTGGTTTTGCTTACGTGATTCTTTAGGTGCCCTAGCCTGGCTGCTAGCTTCTTCTCGGGATCTATGGCCCTCAGTCCCAATGACTCACTGGACATGGAAGTCCCTCCAAAAGAAACGACAGCGCAACGAGAAAAGCAGAGCGCCCAAAAACCATACAGGAAGTTCCTTACACCCTAAACCCTAAACAGGCGGTTCCCTAAACCGAAAGCCCAATACCTCCCAAACCCCAGACACAAGCAGTCGAACACCCAAGCTCCAATCCTGAACCGATGAAACCTAAATCCTGAAACGCTACACACGCGCACAACCTTCAAACTCTGCAATAAACCCTATAAGCCCTGAACCCTAAACCCAAGCTGAGCTTTTCTTGAAAAAAAACCAACGCAAGATCCAAATTCAGGTAGCCTGGCCTTGCTCTGGCCCTGTGCCAGCTGGTCTGCTGCGACGGAGGCCTTTAGCTTAGAGCTTAAGGTTTAGGGGTTTGGGGTTTAGGGTTTAGGGTTTAGGGTAGGGCTTTTGGTCTACGGATGTTTAAGGCTAAAGGGTTTCGGGGATTAGGGGTTTAGGGGTTTACGTTGAGGGGTTTAGCGTGCAGGGGTTTACGGCTTCAGAGTGCAGGGCTTGACGGAGTAGGCATTGAGGGTTCTTGGTTTCATGGCTTGGGATTCACAGTTTGAGTTTGTATATGCCTTTTTTTGAACGAGGGTGGGCGTTTGAGAGCGATGTGACATGAAAGCTCAACAAACATACAGTGCCAGTCAGACGGTGTGCGTTGAATCGAACTGGCCGCTTAAACTTTGGAAAATGTTTCGGCTGCTGCTTCTGCTATGACTACAACTACGACGACGACGACGACCACGACCACGACCACAACCGCCGCCGCCACCAACACCACCACCTCCACGAGGATGACGACTACAGTACAACCACCAATACTAATATTACTACCACTGCTGCTGCTAGTACTGCTAGTACTGCTACAACAACAACAACAACTGCTACTACTACTACTACTACTACTACTACTACAGCTACGACTACGACTACGACTACGACTACGACTACGACTACGACTACGACTACGACTACGACTTACTACTAACTACTATCTACTACTGCTACTGCTACTACTACTACTACTACTACTACTACTACTATTACTACTACTACTACTACCACCACTACTACTGCCACTACTACTACCACTACTACTACTACTACTACTACTACTACTACTACTAGTACTACAACAACAACAACTACTACTACTACTACTACTACTACTGCTACTGCTAGCACTATTAGTACTACTACTCCTGGTGTTTCGTGTTTACTGCCCGATGCGAGTCCTGCTACATGTGGAAGAACAAGTACCACCAACACGTGTACACACCAGCAGGCTCACACAAATACACAAGCAACACTAGCGAGCAATGTCAAGAGCAGCCGCAACAACTCGGACCAATAACCATCACACAACAACGACACCAGACAACAAGAATCCACAAAAGACCAGAGCGTCAGCAACGGCAACGCCCACTACGATGATCCATAAGCACATGACGGCAACTGTTCGCATCATCGTGTCTTTGCTCTTGCTGTCGGTCGTGCCATTTCAGCTGCTCGTTGTAGTCCTTTTCCGTGTGGCTAGCAATTTGGTCCTGTGAATCGTATCACCAGTATCATGAGTCTTGCCGTTTTTTGTTGTTGTTGTCCTGGACCTTAAACCACTACAGACGGACATGCGACCGCATGTCTCGTCTGGGAAGTCCGAGTGCTTGAGCCGTGAGCGTAAACCACTAATAAAAGTAAGCCCCAAACCCCTAGACTACTTTTACCGCACTTGGCCAGATGCTGCACAGCTAAGCCCAAAGCCTTAAACCCGAAACCCCAAGGCTACCAGACGACTGCGATGACTCTGTGGGCGTCTTGTTCGACTCTGCAGCTCGACCTACCTTACAACAAGGGGCCTGAACAACTACTGTTACTACACACGTAGCGGTTCAGGGCTTAATGGTTCAACCATGTTCAGCCATGTCAACCTCATTTAAGCCCTTCACTTGTCCGCCTTAGTTAAGTGCTAGGACACCTTGACCCCTAAGACCATACACCCTGAAACCCAAGGACGACGACGACACTGGTCCCATGGCCTTTCGCACGCTTTCCCTCCGCTCACGGGCCTCTCGCGCAAGCGCCGGGTCCAGGTACAGGGGTCGGGGTTTGGGGTTTACGATTCAGTTGCAGTTTTGAGTTATATGCGGTTTTGGTTTCAGGTGCCGGGTCAAGGGCGTCGGGAGTTCTTCTTGCTGGAGGGTTCAAGGACATCCAGTGGAGGCTCAGGCGTAGCGGCGGTCGTGCAGAAGGCTGATCACTGCCCGACCGTCCGAGGATTCTACGACCGGGGTCTGAATATGGGAGTTTCCGAAAACAATGGGGTACTTTCTTTTGGGGTCCTTATAATAAGGATCATACTATTTAGGGTGCTATATTAGGGTCCCCTATTTTGGGAAACCGCCATATTAATTAAGGCTCCTGCCCGGAGAAGGTTTAATGGTTCCATGGGCAGGATCAATGGCTTTTTCGCTTGGGCTTGGACCCTACTTGCAAACCCTAAACCGAAACCCCTAACCCGAAGTTAGGGCTGTCAGGTTCGTGGCTTCTCGGCCGATGGCTTCGTAGGATGTAAGATGGGAGTTTCCGAAAATAAGGGGTACCTTATTTTGGGCTCCTTATACTAAGGATCCTACTATCTAGGTTGCTATATTAGGGTTCCCCTATTTTCAGAAACCCTCAGATCGGTCTTGCAGTGTCGAGCAGCGGCTTCCATTCAGAGCTCCAAACCGTCACGGCACATCCCCTGCGAACTCAACAATCATACAGCTTGCGCATTAAGGCTCCCAGCATAATATATTCGATCACGGCTCCCTTAAAGAACCAAAAGTGCGAATCCTCAGCCGAAGCTTTCATCTAAGAGTCTTGATTCTTCCGGGGTGCTGTTGTTGTGCAAACTCATACATGATTCGTTACATGGTCCTAATCGTTGTGGCACCAAACGTACGGGAATTATGGCACATCCCCAATCATTGATAATGAAAGATTCCGTCAATCAAGCATATGCTAACTATTATTATTGTTATTATTCGTCTTATTCTTGTTCTTCTTATGACGTACTGTCATTGTGAAGCTCCAGCTGCTGCCAGTTTGCTGGAGCCGCTGCCGGATGAAGATGGCATCACATCACCACTGTCTGGAGCTCGGGGTATCTGCTGTAGCTAAAAGTCTTTCATGTCTGCTAGGGTTTCTTATTATAATTTCCATTTTCACCCCGGCACTTTGGGCAACATGTTCGTCATTTGCCTTATTGTTGTATAGAGGTGCCTTGTCATGAACGTTCTCGGGGACTTTGAAATTGCAACCCAGCGGATCTGAACATGTAGCTAGGGCTTCGACTAGACGGGACCTGCTGTGATCGATTTCGTCGAAACCCTAAACCCTAGACCGGCTTTCGGGAAATCTCGCTATGCAGGGGACAAAGTTAGGGTACATCACCTCGTTTTCTGGAACTCCCCATGGTCTGCCCAAAACCCTGTCCCAGCCAACTCCTTCATGCCCCGATAGGCCGTGAGGACCCCCACTCCCCACCCCATTCCTCTCCACAGACCATGCTGACAAAAGCTGCGACCCTGAAAATCAGCAGAACCACCGAACATCACATGATAACTTCAGCACATTTGTGGGCTTAGGACTAGGAACTCTTCCTTTGGTCGTGCCGTAGACGTAGCACGCAACGCACCCCTATAGCATGGAACCCTTATAGTAACCCATTCAGTATAGAATTCAAGTATACCCATTTTCGGCCCTTAGACCCCTAAACCCCAGCACGTTCAACAACTAAACCTTCAACCCTTCAACTAAGGGGTACTTAGAAATAGTTTTTAATCTTTGGCTACTATAAACCCCAAGAAGCAGCTAACATTATAAGTTTTGCTAGGGGTCTAAGTTCAGTATGGACCAAGCCTAAAGGCCTTGACCAAAGAAACAAAGATCAGGTCCGCACTCTCCACTGCTGAGCCCTGGACCCGCGGGGTGTTAAGGGTTTAGGGTTTAGGGTTTGTATAGAACGGGTTTAGGGTTTAGGGTCTAAGGGCTGTATCTACGGTTCTGGGGCTTTTTCAGGCTACTTTCTGGGTTCTAGAAGTTTGTTTAAGAAGCTCTAAGAAGTCCTTATGTTGGTTCTGTATGGCTTTAAGGATTCAGGGTTTGGGGTTGAGTGGCTACCTACCAGCCAGACTTGCTTGCAGGACTGCAGCAACAGGGTTTGGGGTCTGAGTTAAGTCTAGGATTTTCAGGTGGGTAGTTACCGTTATAGGAGCCTTATAGAAGGTCTATATACCTTATAGAAGCTTTATAGAAGCCCTATATACCCTAAACTCCCTACCTGTAGATTCCTTTAACTAAATGCAGGGTTCATGCAGGCTGTGCTATACTATGCACTGTAGGTGCGAGCGGCCTGCTTGGGATGCAGAAAGTTCAACCCTAAACGTTAAACATGAACTCTCTTAGTTCTAAGCCCTAAGCCTTAAACCTTAGGGTTTAGGGTTTAGGATCTTAAACCGCTCAAGCCCTAAGCCCTAAGTTTCAACCCATAACCCTATGCCCTATACTCATTTCTGTAGAGGAGTCCTGAACGGACGGAAGATGTATTAACGCTTGCTCAGGGTTGCTAGGAATTTCTTTAGGGCCTTATAGAGGTATAGGAACCCTAGCGTGGCATTGGGGGCCTTTTTGCTTTTCAACAGGGTTATGTGCAGCATATATCGAATATTGAGTCAAGGAACCCTGAAGAAATACTTACTGGTCCGTGCTTCACATGTGTGGACACGCATCTACAGACAGACAGACAGACAGACAGACGTGCAGACCGACGGACAGACAGACATGCATGAGCATACACATGCACCTCTGGCTGCGATACACATGGTCCTGTGCTCTCCCACGCCCCATCCTTTTAACCCCTAGACCCTAAACCCTAACCAGTGAGTGCTGAAACCCTAAACCCTAAACTTTCAAGACTTTCAGGTTCCTCAAGCCCTCGAGGAGCCATTGAAACGCCGAAGAGGCTCCACCCTGCAACACTGACGCCGAAGGCCCAAACCCTCAAAGCCTCAGAACTTACGTGAAAGATCAGAGAATATACTGTACTATGGTATAATGTAATATGGTATAATAGTGTAAACTAGCATGATATAATACCTCTAATGCTAAACCCGAGCACCTTGAATGTCGACCCTAAGCCCGAATTCTTCAGCCCCGTCTCCTCAATCCCTCAGGCAGCCTTATCGAGTACCCTTACAAAACCCCAAAAACACAAACCCTAATGCCCCAAAGCCGTAAACTCATAGACTCTAAAACCATAAAGCCCCGAAGCCCTGAAGCCCAAACGTTGGCAGGAAGGTGGTGCCTTCCCTTGGCTCTGACCAGCACGGCACTGGCCTTTGCAAGCCCTGTCTTTGGTTCTGGAAGCCGCAAGGCCGTTGCAATGGGAGGGCATTGGGGTCGGTTTGGGGTTGGGTTCAGGGTTTAGGGTGACATGTACTTCAAGAGCTTTGGGTTTTGCACGGGGTTTTCGCCTGTGAGGAGGAGGCCTGACAGGCGACTGAGGCCGCCGAGCGCGACACGCAAGCCTGATGTAAAACGGTGCCTGGCATGGCCTTGGGCTGCTCCGGTGAAGGTGTAGAGGCTTTGGAGTTTGGGAACATGCGCACATTTGGCATGACTTTTCGTGGATGCTCTTGCTTGACATGATAAGCATGGCCGTTACGCCCTAGGTGCTGTTGGTGGCATACTTCTGTAGATGCTCGTTTTGATTGCTTGTTGCAGCAGTTGTTGGTGTAATATATAGAAGCCTGAGCTCAGTGTTTCTCGATAGAACTTATAATTAACATAGCCCGAAACCCGATTTTCATTGTTGAGGCGTCCATGTTACTCTTTTGCACAAGTCTGGTGGGGGAATTGCTGCTTGCGCAGGCTGCCAAAAGGGACACAGTTGTTTCTCGGACTGCAGCCAGCGAATATCTGGGAGCGTTTAGCGCCTAAGTCTTCAATGTCCTGCATCCCCTCGCCTGAACTTGACTTCCGAGCCGAGATTTTTTCAGAGAACTCTTAATTACCTCAGCGTTAAGCCCCAAAACCACGGAAAGGGAACACCATTGAAAAGCAAAAACGCTTAAGCAAGAAACGCCATTGGCCTTAAATGTGGGAGCTCCAATTAGCCCCCTTAGGTCTTGGGAAATCCAAAACACTCGCCTCGTCACAGGAACCGACACCGAAACCCTAAGACCTCACCTGCGGAGTGACTTTGTCAGCTGAGTGGATGGGAAAGCCCCAAACTCTCAAACTTTTAGGCCTTTCAGATCTTTTCAGCCTTGACACCTTACAAAACCACTAAGCGTTCAACTCTATCCTGCATTACGTCGACTTCTGCTACTTGTCGTTGTGGCTCTGAAAAGTGCCGCTAATCTTTTCTTCGTCTTTTCCACTGCACGTGACAGACGCCATAAACCCACAAATTCTATGTGGACTCCGCGTTCCCAGATCCCCACCACCCACAACCTTCATCCTCTTCTGCGATCTCTAAAATTCCCAGACCCGGGTTTAGCGAAAGCCCGAAAAATCCCTAAACCCCAAGCCCTAAACCCGAAATCCCTAACCCTAAACCCTAAACCCTAAACAGTAGGAGGCAAAAAACCCGAAATGCCTTGAGGTTCCTATTGTCACCTCTGCCCCCAGAACGAGTTTACGGTCCGGAAGAAGCTGACGGCTCGAGCATTGAAGGCCGTGGGGAGAGGGCCTATCCGGCTTACAAACAAAAGATTTATGGTTTAGGGTTTGGGGTTTAGGGTTTAGGGTTTGGGGTTTAGGATTTATGGTTTAGGGTTTGGGGTTTGGGGTTTAGGGTTAGTAAGCTGTTCTGGCGTGACGTTGCAAGCCAGTTGCAAAAAAGGGTTAGTAAACTGGTCGAGATCTGACAAGGCCGTTGCAAAAAAAGGTTTGGTAAACTAAGGATGAACCCATCAGTACCTTAATTACTTACTAGGTACATGCCTCAGCTTCTTTAGAACTGGTACGTAGTAGTAGGGTCCCCAGGCAATCCCTATACATCACTCGGCATCGTTACTGCACCAGGCCCACCAGAGCGATCGAAAGTTTATCAGTTATTCTCAGGTCCCAACGCTACGTATTTCGGCAAGCCAAGAACCGCCAAGCTTTAAGTCAGCCCTGCTTGGGGACTTATAGCACCTGACATTTGGCTTGTCCACGCTTGAGGGCGTAGCAGCAAACGTTACACGTCAGCAGCAGCGTACGCAAAGTAGAACGAGGCAGGGGCGAGAGTTTCTTGCCTTTTCCTGCACTGACATCAGTACATAAAGACATGCACATGCACACACACACACACACACACATTAAGGGTAGCATGAGGACATGTGCTCTGCCGCCCCTCCTCTTTGTACCTTGGTGAGCAATGCAGCACGGCGGCCTTATGCTGACCCATGGGTGGGGGTTCTTTTTGGGTATT